TTGATTTTTATTTCTAGTGGCATGTGGTCTGATTCTACCCTTTCCCCCAGTTTGAAACTCTCTATTTCTTCCCACGCCTCTTCATTGACAATCCCATAGTCTATAATTTATTCTCCTCTAACCCCTACATACGTCCACTCTCCTTCTTCATCTCCTTCCTTGTTTCCATTCAAAGTTTCCCATCCCATTTCTTTCATTATCTTCCACAATATTTTCCTTTCTTTGTTATTTACTTTGTGTTTTGATCCTCTTTTCTTTTCCTTTGCGTAAATTCTTGATCTGCCATACACTAAAAATAGTAACAATTATGTAACTCCAATTTATTATTATTATTATCAATAAAAGGACTCTGGACGACTTCCTCCGGCAACTTGTTCCAAGTGTCAAACACTCTGTTTGTTACGAAATGCTGACTTACAGTTGTACGAAAATTCTCTTTTTTCAGTTTGAAACAATGACCTCTAGTTCTTGAATATGGGCATAAGGTAAATAAATCCTGCATCAATGGATCCTCGAGTCTCAACGATTTGTAGGTGAAAATTATATCCCCTCGAATTCTTCTGTCCTTCAATGTGGGTAGCGACATTATAATAAGACGCTCAGAATAAGATGGTCGGAAAGGGTCATTACCATAGGGAAGACGAGTCATTCTTTGTTGTACTGACTCCAAACGATTTTGATCTCCAATGAGCACAGGCCACCAAACATTATTTGCGAACTCCAGTACTGGTCTTACAAAATTTTTGTACAACTTTAACGTGGTGCTTACACTTGGTTTTATAAAAGATCTTCGTAGTAAATACCCAAGAGAATTTGCTTTTTTAATGACACTCACGATGTGATCACTCCATGTCAGTTCTGAGTTTACTATTACACCTAGATCCAATTGGGAATTGGTGCTGGTTAATACTACCCCATCCATTGAGTAAACATATTTGCTGTTATTCGGTCCTATATGTAGCACTGAACATTTCTGCTTATTTATTGGAAGGAGCCACTTCTTGGACCACTGATTCACTATTAAAATATCTTTACTCAAAATACTGCAATTCATGGGACTGTCATTATAAATTTTTAAATCATCAGCGTAGAACAAACACCTTGACTGGATTTCTGTTTTTAAATCCGCAATATACGTTATAAATAGCAACGGACCCAGCACCGAATCCTGCGGCACTCCAATTTCCACAGCTGTCAGATCACTCAGTGACGCACCGAATTTAACTCTGAAACTTCGATTAGTTAAGAATCCTTTTATCCATTCTAGTAACAGTCCTGTAATGCCATAGTGTCGAAGTTTTAACAGAAGATTTGTTGTTGGAACTTTGTCAAAGGCTTTACAAAAATCAAAATACACAACATCAGTAGCAACACCACGGTCGAAATTTTTGGTCCAATCTGATACGGCACAAAAAAAATTAGTGGACACAGACTTTTTTGGGACAAATCCGTGCTGTTCGGCAGGAAGGACATTGTTCGCAAGCAGAAACTTTCTTATCTCATCGGAAATAATAGATTCCATGATTTTGACTATGACCGCAGTGAGGCTAATCGGTCTGTAGTTCACAGCTTGAAATTTATCGCCTTTTTTAAAGATCGGCTTTACAATGGCCAATCTCCAATCTTCAGGAAGTTGACTGTTTTGAAAAGATTCTTCAAAGGTATACACACGGTCTCAGCACATTTATTAAGAACTGTCGGAGTAATCCCATCTGGTCCAGGTGAGGTGGTTGATTTAAGTTTACTCAACTTGATTTTAATTAATTCCTCCGGGAACGCTATATCACTAAGAGCAAAATTGACTTCCGGTGTAGATAACAGAGGTGTTGTGTTAGTTACTGTCTCTCTAGTATAAGATTGCGCAAAAGTCTCAGCAAATAAGTTGGCAATGATTTCGTCATCAGTTACTATACGCCATTCTCGTTACGAAGTTGTGGATTTCTAACAGGTCCGGTGAGCCTATTACGAATATATTTGTAGAGTATCTTTGGATCTTTAGAATTAGCTACACGGAGTTCATAAGTTCTTTTAGCCGCTTTTATTTCTACAGATAGCCGGTTTGAATAAGCCCGATGAGCTGCATAGTCAGTGTCAAATCGGCTATTCTTGAATCGTTTCCACAATGCTCTCTTTTTACAAACCATCAGGAGTAATTTTTTACTAATCCACGGTTTTTTCGTTGAACGAGTCACAGTTTGTTTAACAGTATTTTTGTCAACTAATTGCACCAAGTACTCTTTAAATATGATCCAGTTATCATTTACAGACGCCGAACTCAGCAAAGTCTCCCAGTCTATATTACTGATGTCATGGTTCAGCGCTCCATAGTCAGTATAAAATTTAGTGTGGACTGTTTTCTTACCCTGAAGATTACAACAAAGTTGCAGCTGTGCTGACAAAGTAACATGGTCAGAAATACCAACAGGAGAGCCGTAATTCAAATTTGAAAGAAGATTCATGTCTGACAATATTATAAGATCAAGGGTCGACGGCGTTTGATTCTGTCTGTATCTCGTGGGTTTATTCACAAGTTGATGTAAATGACTATTGTTTATGAAATCAAGTAATAGTTGAGAAGATTGGTCCGGAGCGTAATTAGCGATTGGTACCCATTTTATTTGCGGCATATTAAAGTCTCCGAAAATAAGCAGATTGTCATGGTCATTTACCAATTCCGTCAGGGTTCGAAACAACTGAACATCGGTCGCACATGTCGTTGAAGGAGTCCTATAAATGCAGCTTAGTACGAAACACAATTGACGATTGGAAATTATCAATCACAATATCTAGAGGTGATATAGAAAAGGTGGAAACTATTTGCGTAGACAAATAAATGCATACACCTCCTCCTCTTCCTGATTTACGATCTGATCGGTAAAGAATATAATTTGGTAATGATACAATTGAATCAGTGATATTTGAATTCAACCAAGTTTCAGTTATTAAGAGTATAGTAGGTTTCTGCTACGTAACGAGAGCTGTTAAATCATCAAACTTTGCGGTCAAAGATCCAAGATTAGTGTACATAATTGAGCAGTTAAAAATTTTTCGCTTTGTGACATGAATATGTACTATAAAAAGAATTCTAAGTTAGGTTCGCCACCAGACCAAGCCTGGTAAAGGTCATAGGATTTTTTAAGCTTACGCTGAACCTTGACCACACGGTTCTTGATACTTTTATGCGTCAATTTAGGGTAAACTTTGTATAACATTTCGAGTAGGCCATCAATATTCCTTGTATATGCAAAAGCACCAGTAAATATGTCAGATTGTCCAACGGCTTCTTCCATAAATTTGACCAAAGATTCGAAATCTATCGGAAAAGACGAATCTGGTAAGTCAAATAATTCCTTGACAGGTTCAAGTATCTCAGGGACCCCAGTAAGACTTTCTGTAGAATCGCATGTTTTTATCTTCTTCTTTGACGTACCAGCTAAATCTTGAACACGAGTTTCTTCAATAAGATTATTTACAAGATTCGGTATCTCCAATTCATCTTCAGGGGACGACTGGTTGGACTAAATTTGTCTTTTATTATTGACTGTAGTTTTATTAAATGGGCTCAGATGAAAAGAAGATTCACTTTGTGCATTATCTACACTTGACTCCACCGTAGTATTAGTTTCAACATTAATTGTACATTCACTTGCTATATGTCCTGCTTTTCGACACTTAAAACAAGTTTGATCTCCGAGGGTGAAAAATATTCTGTACTCAGTCTCTTCGTACTTAATGAGAGTGGACGAAGGAAGTTCAATCTCGTCGGTAGGTTCAACAAAGATTTGTCTTCTGAAACTCAAAACGTGGCTGTAGGTCTCGTTTTGGATGCTTGCTCTAAGAAAATTCATAGGCGACACCGTTTTGTATCCAAGCCTTTTAATAATGTTTTCAAGTACAGAATGTGGAATGGTAGGGCAGACGTTTGGAAGAATGATGCGTTTCGCAGGAGATATAAACCGCCTGACTCCTGTTTCATAATCTTGTATTTTTATATTGGGATGCTCTGTAACAATCTGGTTGACCAAATCCTTGCTACTGAGATAAATACATATTCTATTGTTAGCTATGCGAGAAGCAAATAGTATGTTTTTAGGTTGTATAATTTCTCCCACTGCAACGACATAGTCTGTGAGTTTCAGGTCACTAATTACATTTAGGACAATGGCTTGTTCTTTTTTTGGGAATTGAAAAGTTGAATTTGGACTTGTTGACATCTTGGCAGAACCCAGCCAAACGGCTGTTTATTGGGTTGACGAAGAATCAGGGGAACACAAGTAACTTATCTGGCCACTACTATCAGTGTTTTGATAATTCAGGTTAACAAAAAGAGTGCAAACGGATTCTAGGTCTTCTTAACTAGTTTACAATACGATTAATTCGATTTAAATCACCGACACAGGCAGCTTTTTCTTGCAGCACTTTAATCGACATCTACACTTGTTCTTTCGTTTTGTATCTTTTTTTTCCAGTTTCTAACATAATAATCGACATAATAGAATTCATTTTCTCGGGCGACTTGTATAAAATCGAATTCGTTGTCATAAATTAGAAAAATAGGTAATCTGTTCGGTTACATCTATATTATATAAAAATCGAAAAAATGGTTATATCTCCACTAGCAACTCCCCTTAGCAAATGAAACTCAACAATATTTTTCGTACAACTTATTTTTAACCTTACAAAGTAGGGTCACCATTGGATTAAACATCCCTAGATTAGTGACTTTTATTTTTCAGCATGTCGCCCGATTTTATTTAAAGTGTAAGAAACTTGATAATCGCACTTAAAATAGCTTCCTCAAATATCTCAGTGTTCAAGTTTTGTAATCAAATAATCGCCGTCATTAATAAATTTGAATAAAAATATTTATTTATTATTCGAACAACCAAAGTAAAGAATATTCCGTAAGTTGTGAAAAAAAAATCTAAACTTTGTAAACAAGTAATCACATGATAACCTTATAGTAAAAAAACAGGTTCAGTCAACCCGGCATCGACAATAACAGGACTCGCGTCCTTGATGCATCGTGTGTGTATTTATCTGGCACACCAAAATCTTAGACGTTTTTACAGTCGAACGAAACAGCTTCAGTTTTGGAAAAATGGACGAACAAAGAGAACGTATGTTCGACGAAGCTGCAAAACAATTTAACAGTAGTGGAAAAGCGCTAAAAGAAGATGTGAATCGTTTGCAAGAATGGCTAGAAACGCAACCACACCTTCCAAAAATGTTGGGTATGTTGTTGAACCAGTTTAGCAATAGTTTACATTTTTTTTAAGACGAACACGCTCTTCGGAATTTTATGATTCTCAACAAGTGCAGTATCGAAATTGCGAAGAAAAAAATCGACAACTATTATTCAGTTAGAGCGAAAGTGCCAGAAGTAGTTTACGAAATGAACCCCAAGCGTCAACATCATAAGGAATTTAAAAGTATGGTGTAAGTTTTAATTACCATTAAATTATTATTATTATTAGATTTTTTAGTAGTTGTTATTAGTTGAGATATCGATATATCTAAATTGTGATAAATTGGAGAATAAATTATCGATATCTCAATTAATAAGGTATAATCTAAGCCAAAATGACTAATTGTAGATACTTAGTGGATCACCCTCAATTAACAAACGACATGTATAAACTCACTTTTTTCAAAGTAAAAGGAGAAACTGTATCACTTGGCTATGAACCACTCAATTTTATGAGAAAACTATGTAGCATGGCGGAGTTAAAACTGCGACATGACGTCATGTATGGAGACATTTTGGTTTTAGACTGCAAAGGATTCACTTTAAACGTCGCCATGAGAATTACACCCTTGATGTTTTACAAACTTTTCGTTGTTCTTTATGATGTAAGACAAAAAAGACTTACGTAATAATTAGGCTTCGGATCTTAGGTTTTTTACCTTTTTATATCTACTTCATTTATTTAAAAATTTAAATTGCCTAATTTACCGTTAGAGACCTAAAGTGTTAATTAAACGACCTAATTGTAAATTTTAAAAGGAATAAAATAGGATTCCACGACTAACGAAGCGGACGTGCTTACACAATAGAGATTTTCCGTGAATTCATTGTTTTGACTGGCAGATTGTTTAAAAATGGGTTGTAAACAACGCCCTTGAGTTTAGTGGTACGGGTTGGTGTCGCCAACTGACAACGCTGGCCTGCATTTGATTTAGATTATAGCCGGGAAGAGGTGATTCTCTGAAAAAACATTTTATTTTAAAAGTTTATTCGTAGTGATACTGAGTGTCTTTGCGTGTTAGTGAGTGTGCTGGGGCCGGTTTTGATTTTTGTGCATACAGTAAAGAATCCTCAAAATGCCTAAGGTAAAATCATTCATGAAAGATAATATCAAATTATGGTTAGGGAATAATTTGGACACTAATTTTCAATTTCCTTCTTCAACCAAAGACAATGAGCTATTCTGCAAATGTGTGAAAAAGTTCTAAGTAAACATTTAAAATACTGAAGCTTGAATTATGTTCACATTTTTGTTTCCTAGTTTAAGTGCGAAAAAAAATCACACTTTGAACAACACTGCAGTGGCGATGCACATAAGAAGAACGAGAATAAATCCAGTAAACAGACTTTATTAAACATTAGTTGCGACAATGATTTTACTCAATTTTGCACCGATTTATGTAGGGCATTTACCGCAGCAAATGGTCCACGGAATAGAGTTAGTTGTCCTGAGTTTAAAAATTTTATGCATAACCCAGTAAACACAGTTATGTCGTAGCGATGTTAATGCCACTTAACTCTGTCTACGATCTTGTTGCTGTTACATCCGAAACTGCGTACATTTGCTTTCCCTGTGCTATGTAATGTAATCAACAGTGACCCATGCTTGTAACATCCTGGTGACATCCACATTGTTTCAGACTAGAGACGTGCTCGCTGGTACATCATCATAACGTTGTGTTAGTATGTCGCTAGATTCTCTATATTTTGATGTATCTGTTACGTTTTATTTTAAACGCCAATATAACGTATTAAATGGACATAGACGTTATGTATATATCGCAACATCGTAAACATATGACTCTCAGTATATTTTATTAACATGATCTATGCGATATGAATAGGTATTTCAAAAAGTCTAGTTACCATTTAGGGATATGGATATGGAGAGTAAAATTTAGAGCTTACAGTAAATTATTATTTTATTCAATGTTTGAAAAAATACAATATGTAATAAGTAATAAAATACAAAATTAATATAAATTCATAACATAAATAAATATATATATGATTTCCTAATTCGAAAATAATACAATATAATTTACACTTAAAACAAGACACAGAAACTATAAACTGTTGTTGTTTTTTCTTTCTTCAGGCGTTGACTAGAATGCCGTAGCCACTCTGAGCAGCGTTGTTCTACTGCTTTTTCTATTGCGGTATGGGTCTTCATCGTAATTTCTTCAAAAATAAAAATTGTAATAATTATATTTATTGCAAAAAAAATACCTTTCATGATATTCATCGTTTTTGTCCCAGCCATTCTGGAATTTTCCTACTGAACGAACAAGCTACAGCAAATTCGCTGATTTTTTTTTTCTAATACACGCCCCACATTGTTCTTTTTCCCATTACCACCTATCTGGGACAATAGCAGTTCATGAAATAAGAAAAGAAGAAAATATTTTTATGTGTATGTATCGAGTGACTCTGAAATAAGTTCGGAAAAAAAACCACAACATCACGCAGTAGAGAAAATTTTAAGTAATTTCTTTTATCTGGTCCTAATTCAGGGGAAAAAATATCAAGATCTACACCTCATTCAGTGCCATTTGTTTTCATCTAAGCAACACACAGCAAAAACATAGAAAAAATTTAGTCACAATGGAAACTGAATGAAAAATTGCCGCATCATTGACATTTAACTAGATGTTCCGTATTTGTTTCTTGAAACTGGAGCAGCAATTTAATTACTTTGAATCCGTGTGACAATTAAAGGATTTTTTTTCCGAATCTATTTGGAAGTCACCGCGTATGTATAACATACAGGGTGCTTCACTATAAGACTTTTCTGCAACCCACTATGTATGTAACGTGTTAAGCGACATGTGTCATGTTTAGTAGGTTCCTAAAAAGTGTTATAGTATTACAGGTAGCTACTTATATATAATATCCAAAATGATGTTATATGTAAGTACATATAGATTTATTGTATTTTTTTTAACTTACAAAGAAACCTGCCTGTTGTACGTAGTGGGCAGAGATAATCTTCTAATTCCTCAAAATTTGTTTACCTGTGGTCTTGGCGGCATATCTTCTATTACTGTTTTCTTTTTGATTTGTCACATTTGATGACGTTTTCATATTGGAGATTTGTTCACTCGTTTCCTTTAGAATTTCTTTTGTTTCGCAGATATTTTTTGTATTTGTTTCAAGTCTAGAGTAAAATTATGTTCATTAGCACCTAGTTCATAAAAAATTGCAGTAACATACCTTTGCAACATGTTATGGCAAAGCGCCTCACTTTCAAAAACAATCACCGTAAGTTCTTCAAAATCAGCGGGAGTATCTTCAGTGATTAATGGTGGTATTTCCAGCTTATCTGAAAAAAACTGTTGTTGTTATTTACGTACAGTTATCAAAAACAACAAAAGCATGTAAAAATTAAAATGATTACTTCATTAGAATTATATTAACTTACCTAGTGTAAATACAACCCACACTGAATGGCACAATTTTCACAAAACTGCATTAAAAATGAAGTGAGTTACGGATTCACGAGAAAGGTTCGGTGGTTGTGAACCAAAATGGCCAAATGGAATTCGACAGCTTCACTGTGAGTGTGAAGTGCAATAACCATAAATACGGAAAAAAAGGGATCGTCCGACTCATAGACAAACCAAACCAACAAAGTTCCGACTGCACCCCCCCCCCCCCCCAAGTATCTGGTGGATAATAAATGCAGAAGTTGAGGGTTATTTTTTCATTAGATGAAATAAATTTAATAAAATCAAAATTAACCACTCTCTAATTTTTTTGCTACAAATCATCGCTTTATAAACGTCTTTATAAAATCAAAATTCGACGAATGAACTCTTCAAAACCTTGTCCCGTTTCAGGGACAATGGGCAAAGAATTTTTATGGCTTTGTTTGTGTCGTTGGGTCTTCCCTATATTATCCCAGATGTTTAAGGTGACCAGACGTTCCGATTTGATCGGAACTGTACCGATTTCAATACTCTAATTCCGATTTCAAATTTCGTCCAATAAATATTCCGATTAAAACATTCGTTCCGTGAATGTTCAGATTTCTATAAATCTGATAAGAATAAAGATAATTCCTCGGATAAATCACTAATTTTCATGAATAGTAATTTTATTTTGTGAAAAATTGGGAACAAAACTTGTATCGATACGGTTCTCAGCAGATGTCAGTACTGTTAGTATATTACAACTAAAAATTTTCAAAGCAGTTATTATATATCAGATTACCATGGAAATGGAAACTAATGTTCCGATTTCGAACTTTTGAAATCTGGTCACCTTACAGATGTTCTATTTATAATTTGCCAAACAGGTACTTACAAAATAACATTTCAAGTGAACAAGTTTACAGAAATAATTCTTAGAAATTATTACAATGAAAAAAAACTTGTCTTTGGTGTATTTCTAATAAAGCCGTTGTATTTTTCGCTCTGTATATAATTATTAATTAAGCATTACGAACTCACTGACGAAGGTCACTTTTTAAAGAATACGACGACCCACATCTAATTGACCATATAATCTTTAACAATAAATTTCAAATAATACCATAGTGGTTTTTTTAAATTTTGATAAGGTGTTGTAAAACGATTTCTGTTTCTGTCTTCATTCCAAATACTGTATTTACGTGGGCAAAGGATGCCGTACGTGGGATTTTAGGGGCGGAAACGTATACCTGCTTAAATACTGTAAATACAGTGCTGTCGAACGAAGACAACTAGAGAAACATATCCGATGTATTAGTTATTATTAGACAGCGGATTTTATGAAATTTGCATATTCGTTATTTTTTGTATATAAGTCTTGATATTTAATATGTGAACGAATCATGCTAATTAAAAATGAATACAGCTATAAAAAAATTGCATATTTGCATATATTTGCCTTCTGCTGCATATTTCACGTAACGGGTGCATATTTTGCATTTTTATCAATTTTTGTGCTACTTTGAAAAAAAAATGCCATTCGATCGGCATTTTTATAGAAAAACGAAATTTCATGAATCATATTGCAAATATTGTCCTGGGCTTCAAATAACTGGGAAAGGTTTGGGTTTTATGGTAGTTTGGAGGAACCACTGGGTGTTAAGCCATCCTTCAGGTAAATTCGGGTCCTAATTACTTTTGGAAATACCGTTCATTTCAATATTTTTGTTCGTTACTTAAGTGTATTAATGGTATGTTTTATGGTGGTCGAAGGGACGTTATCCTATTATTTTTCATCGTGAGTTTGCATTTAAGTATTTAAAGCGATAGAGATGTGTGTCAATATGTAGATAACTCAAATTAATTTATGAATTAAACCTTTTCCTGAACTTATTCTTCAAGAAGGAACTGTGTTTTATTGTGGCTGCTCTAATCTGATAAGTATTTTTACATCTGTGGACGCAGTTTTTCTATTTACAAATACTTACTTTAGAATCACCGGAAAAATTTTTGTTAGAATATTTCGACAAATATTTAAAAATAAATTGTTACCAAAATAGTAATTAAATAGTCGATTACTACTATTTTTTAATTCCTTCTGTTTACCTATATTTATTTTTTAGTATAAGAATATTATCTTAAAAAATGTCATTTATTTGTCAGTGAGATCTAATTAAACACTTTGCAATGTGATTTATGAATTTTTTGTAATAAAAGGTAAGGTGTTTTTGCAATTTGTAAATAAATTTAGTTCGATTACGTTTTTTTTTATTTTTGGAGCATATGCAACTGCATATCTCTGCATATATTAAGAAAGTTATTGCATATTTGCATAAATTTGAAGCATGTCACATGATCATATTTCCCAAAATTTTGCTGCAAATTTTCCGCTCTCTAGTTATTATACCTACATACACTCTATTACCGACATTAAAAAAAGTCTACACTATTTCGTCATATCTGCTGCTTTATTATCAGTTTTCAGTTATCTACATATTGGATATGAAATTAAGTGAATTTTTTGAATAAATAATAGTTTAAAGATCAACCACGAAAATACTCAATTATAATTATACATTATACATTACCAGTTTATTTTAGAGCCCAAGATTACATTGGAAAAATCTAAACTTTTGAAAATTTAATGTTAAACAGATATGCCTATAACTGAGTGCGAAAGTCAATACACAAAACTCGATGATCAATTATTGTTTCGTATTCAAATTATTATTTATTTTCCTTACGATCAAAGTGAAGAAATTATTTAATTCATTTTTATTTAAGAACGATATCGCTGACCTTGAAATAGATTAGTTTTTAATTTCGATTTTTTTCTTTGTGTTGCTTTTGTTGCCGATCAACATATTTTGTGTTAGAATTAATAAAATAATGAAATATATCATTTTATTTTTCGAGCTCATTTCAAAATTTTGTATATGTATAATTGTTCCTTTTTGGCAGTGACGCATAGGCAGACGTTAAAAAATAATGTCTCATTACTAGTCTTAATTCGTATTGCCTGTTTGATGGGACATTTTTTCATTCTGATCATAAACTATGTGCATTAAGTCTCTTGTTCTGTTTTATAAAGCGCAGGTCGTTATGGACGTATAAAAATATAATTATAAATAAATATAATTACAGGAAATATAATATAAAAAAAAAAATTAAGAGCAACTCACTATTGGCGTCATCTCGCTTGTGCAAGATTTAGGACAGCTAAGAAATTTCTTTTTTTAAGACTCAGCATCTTTTGTTTATGAATATACTATTTACTTGCAACACAAACATAAATAATATATATAATATAGAGCTATATAATACTCGATATGTGTGTTTTTAAATGTTTTTTGCTGTTGCCCTGTCAGAAACGTTAATTTTCGATTTGACATGGCATTTTGTAAAATGAACTGAAAAACACTTTACATAATTAACTAATAAAAATAAAACATTTCGAAGCATGTATATATATATTAATCAGCTAGCTAGTAACTACAGTTAACATTACTTATTGGTTACATAACCGTAGTACTCCATTGTGATGTTACAAGGCTTACCTGCCAACTATATCGCTGCGACACAATAATGAGATATCTAGTAAATGCAGTTAACATTAGGTGTTAGTTACATAACAGGAGTACCACAGTGTGATGTTTAAATGCTTATGTGGAAGCTCTATCGCTGCGACATAATAATGAGATATCTAGTAAATGTAGTCAACATTACGTGTTGGTTACATAGCATGAGTACTCCATTGTGATGTTATATATATAGCTTACGTTCCAGGTATATCGTTAAGACATAATCATGCGATGTACTTATTGTTCTTTTGTGAGTACGTACCTGTCACGTCAACATCACAACTGTGTTTATTGGGAAATATACAGGAAGGCATTTACCCTCAGAAAGCACTCTGAGAAAAAATGCACAAAGCATTAAAAAAGCTCAAGAATTCCTGAATAAAGCAAATGTTAAAAATGAACTCTTGTACATTAAAACTCACTTTAAAATTATTGCTGATGCAATAGAACAATTATAAACTACAGTTTTAAAATTAAACCAAAGTATGGAAATTGTAGAAAAAGTGTATACATCGTTAAAAACCACACCAGGAAAGGTGGGGGAAATGGCGTTCCAAAAATTATGTTCTCTATTAAAAAAGAATCCAGGATACGATTTTGTATGTTCAGTAAATAACGTAATTTGCGGTAATGAAAATCCTACCAACAATACATACATAAATGAAAACGTAGATTGTCCAATATTTAATTTTGCACCCATCACTTCTTGTGATGTGGAAAGCACGTTTTCAAAACTTAAAAGTGTTTTAAGTTACAATCGAAAATTTAGAGAAATATATAGTTGGCTTTGGTAACTCATTTTAAATACCTGAATTATTATTTTATTTTTTGTTAAATGCGACTTGCTTTAATTTGATCGCCATTTTTTTGCGATAACTTAGAATTAGTGGACGTAACTATAGATCGTTTGTTTATTTAATCATTTTTTTGTTTGTTACACAAAATATTTGTTTCTATAATGTTTTGTTTAATTTTTTTCATGTATTCTTTTTCGTTGAGCAAACATTTTTTCCTCCAGGTTTTTAACCTAAACTAAGATTTTTATAACCTAATTCGTCAATTTTGGGACCTAAAAATGTCTCCTTTAATTCATTTTTTAACGACCTGAAATCCGAAGCCTAGTAATAATTCATAAAACTAGCTATTTTAATTTCAGGGAGTTATGTCGTCACGTGTCAAGGCTGTGCACATATTAAATATGACGCCATCAATAACTAAACTTATACAAATTGCAAAAGCCGTCATGAAACCGAAAATATTCGAAAGGGTAAGTACAAATAAGAATTAACGTTTCAAAATTTACGTTCTTTAAGATTTGTATTCATTCGAATGAAGATGCTTTGAAGAAAGTTATCCCTTTGAATTTGCTGCCGACTGATTACGGTGGAGAAGGACTTTCTTTGCAAAAACTAGAAGGTAAGTTTTGGAAGAAAAATTATTAAAAAATAGCAAAGCTTGTAGATGCATTAGAGGCGAAGTACGCACAAAATCAAGAATTATTTGATCGCTTAGACGAAATTACAGTAAATGAGGAATTGCGACCTGAGAAACTGGAAAATGATGATACTCTAGGCTTCTACGGTAGTTTCAAAAAAATTGATATCGACTGAAACCTTCGACTATGGTATGCAACAGCTGTATTAATAACTAAATGTTAGACAACTGAATAAAAGTCTCTATAAATTTACAGAGCCTCATTCTTGTCTTATAATTACATTATCCATGGGTAAAAAACGGAATCAGTACTTACCTACTCAAGGTTTGAGTGTACTTAAGTAAAATATAGTGTAGTAGTTGACACTAAATTTCAAATTATGTGAGATTTGAAAAAACTCCTAGTTATTTTTAGAATCTTGATGTTCGAAGACAAAAAGCAGCAGTCTGTATGGTTGAATTTTGGCGACTTTTTGCGAATTTCCAGAATAATGCACCTTCGTTCCATTCCTTTCGTTAATAAAGCACCTGACAAAAACCCTCTCCGCCAATTGACCGAAGCCCGATCACATCCTGCCTCTCCGTCACCGTTTCATGGGAAACGTCTTCTGTCATCGCCATCGAAAGGGTAAAAAAGTGACCGTTTCTAAATCGTCGGTAAATGTAGCGACGTCCCGAACCGAAAATGAGCCGAAGATGATTAGATTAGCGGACGTACCGAATAACACATAACCATATCTTCGTGACATCCACCGGAGCAAGACGGCGACGGAGGAGAGCAACAAGAGGTCGTGTTTGCGTAACAAAACGTCGCCATCAACAATAAATCTCGATCCGTAATTCCCACGCATGGTGACGTGTAACTAATGAAAAATCACCGCAAATGGCCATCAGTGACAGGTGTACCGTTCACAATGAGTGTCATGCTCGGTGCTCCTCAACAGTGGTCGTTCAATTTACATCTTCACATGATATCCTCTTCTGGATTGATGGGCAGCGGTCGAGGACCCTAGCGGGAGGAATCAGAGCGAAAGATGCCGCTGCGCTGACATTTTCTAATAAAATTAGATGGACATAGGCTGGGGAAAAATGGACGCGAATACGGAGCGGCGCGAGCTGAATGGGGGCACTGAGGCGAAATACGTCAAAGGAAATTTTAAAATAGACTTGCAATTTTATGAAAGTATAAAAATCGGAATCAAGATTACAGCAAGCTCATGGAAAAAGAAGAAATTAGAAATTTATTTCCAATGATTTAGTCGAAAATATTAAAAAAAAATTGTTAAAAAAAAAATGGAAGAAATGAAAGATCGTTTTCAATGTTAAAACATTTATTAATCGTTTGGTTTAATGAAAATTTTAGCTAAAGTATCAGAAATGCATGTGATATTTTGCTGCATATTTTTAATAAACTGGTGCATTAGTCATTACACATTTGAATTTTGAGAATTTATTTAGGTGAATTCCGTTTTTCATTTATTCTAAGAACCCATTTCGTTATTTTCTTATTTTATTTGTGTCGTAAGAAGTCAGTTTAATCTGTTTTCGCAGAATTTGTTTATTAGTTTGACTAAATATGGCTAGTTGTTTAGCAGAATTTGGCAAAACCTTCACTTTATCGCTAGAGAGCGACTATTTTGCAATGTTTGCTTACAAACCGTAGTGTTTATGTCAAGGAAACCAAAATGTAACAACATACTAGTAGGAAAAAATATCATAACGTTTTTGAATTGCCTTAAAAGTGGCGATCATAAATAATTGTCACAAGGATCTGTGTTTGCTACCATTATCTTCCTGTTATATGTTAACGACATTGCGAATGCAGCGAGACATTTAACAGTTCACATCACGCAACAATCTTCTAACTTACTTCTCCCTAACGATGCGCACAACAATTTTCAACAAGTTACATTTTTAAATTGAGACGTGTTATGAGTACATTAATAACATCTTTCAAGTTCAACATTATTAATATGGTAGCTGTATCTTATAAGTGGTTTCCGATTTTATACTAAAAGTCATTATTTTGCATTTTTTGTTGTTTATTTTTAAAAAATTATTACTACATCACAGTAGAAATACATCTGAATTATTTTGTAAATACTCACAGTCATTTTTGCTTGTAATCATCTCCATTATTTAAGTCATCCGCATACAGGAAGAGCTTCTTACATTTCAGCACTTTGGCTATATCATTAACAAACATTAGAAAAAGCAAAGGCCCCAAGTTCGACCCTTGCGTCACACTTTAATAGACTTCATATAATTGCGATCTAGTGCTTGCATATTCCACATACAAACTTATGGGTCTATAATTGCTCACATCATTGTTTGATCCTGATTTGAGAAATCGACATACCCTCGAATAGAAGTCTTATGAAAAAAAAATAAGCAAGCACGCACCAGTAAGGATGGTATGTTATCCGGTCCCATAGTAAGCGTATAAAGACTCATATGTGTCATCTGCATGTGTCATAATTCCTGGAATTCTACTAGCGTTTTTTTTATTACTTAATAATAAACTTCCATAAATTTTTAGGCTCTGTTTGAATGATGTTTTCTGCAATCTTTTAAAGTTTCTGAAATTCTTCACGTATCCTTTTTCTAATAACTTTCCTGAGATTGGAGACTTTATCTTTGTATAGGGCAAATTTGAATTTCTTATTCCCCCTATAGTTTTGATTTAGCTGCGTCTGACTTTGTTTATTCAGATTGTTAAAAAAACAGCCATAAGAAAAGAAATTGTAACGAGAAATTTAGAAAAGAGAAACAGATGGTGGGATAGCAGATGCAGAGATTTAAAAATAGAAGCAAGGAAATGTTTACGAAGGTGGAAAAAGGGGAAAGGTATAAAAGTAGAGTACAGGCAAGCAAAAAATAATTATAGAAAACGATGCAAAGAAAAGAAAGAAGACATACAGCAAGAAGATGAAGATAAAATTAAAGCCATAAGAACGGAGCAAGAGGCATGGCAGTATATAAATAAAGAACGGAAGAACAAAATCACGATTAGTGAAGACATATCTATAATGCAGTGGAAGAAGCATTTTATGTAAGTAAGTAAGTAAGTAAGTAAGTAAGTAAGTAAGTAAGTAAGTAAGTAAGTAAGTAAGTAAGTAAGTAAGTAAGTAAGTAAGTAAGTAAGTAAGTAAGTAAGTAAGTAAGTAAGTAAGTAAGTAAGTAAGTAAGTAAGTAAGTAAGTAAGTAAGTAAGTAAGTAAGTAAGTAAGTAAGTAAGTAAGTAAGTAAGTAAGTAAGTAAGTAATTTTATTGTGCTAAAAACATAAAATTTATACACTCGTCCAAAGGTTACAAGAATGTAATATAAACATAAAAACTATGCAATACAATACTTATGTAGATTATGAGCTACATGATAAACAAGAAATTACTCAAAATTATATTGAAAATATTCATTGAAACTATAAAAACTATTTTCGGTTAAGACATCCTTGATTTTTTTTAGAAATTGAGATGGTGGAAGGTTGCGGAAACTCTGAGGTAATTTGTTAAAGAACACTATACAGAAATAGTTCCTGGCAGTTCTGCAACGGTTTATTCTCAAATTTTCGATTAACAAATTTGTGGACCTGGTATTATAGTCATGGAAAGAACTCAGTGTAGGAAATTGATTGATTTGGTTTACTAAAAATTTAAAACAGTGATAGATGTACAACCAGGGCAATGTCAAAATATTTAAGGATTGAAATGAAAATTTGCAATCATTACGATAACCAATACCTGAAAGGATTCTAATAGCTCTTCTTTGAAGCCTAAAAAGGTTTTGTGACGAGGCGCTGTGTCCCCAGATTAGTATACCATATACTAAGTGAGATTGTATTAGCGCATAATATGCAATTTTTAATATATTTTGATCAACATGATTTGATAAGTTTCTTAAGAGATAAGTATTTTTAGAAATGATGTGAACAATATAATCCACATGTTCATGCCAAAGTAATTTAGTATCTAAAACAATTCCGAGGAACTTGTTAGTACTTTCCGTATCCGCAAAAGACTTATCTTTCTTCAATGAAAATACCATCTGAACTGATTTGTTCTTATTTACGCAAAGTTTATTGGCGAAAAACCAAGGTTCCGCTTGCGAGGATATATTCATAAGAGTACTTGTTACTAATGAAGATGACATTGCTTTTTTACTAAAAGTAGTATCGTCCGCGTACAATATCGTAAAAAAATCGGGGAAAAAGTATGGCAGATCGTTCACATAAATTAAGAAAAGTAGAGGCCCTAAGATGGACCCCTGAGGTACACCATACGCGATTTGTTCTTTATCGGAGACTATACCATCGACAGAGACTACTTGCAATCGATTCAAAAGATACGATGAAATTAATCTAGTGGCATCTGGCTGAAAGTTGTAAAAAAAAAGTTTACGGATTAGTATTTCATGAGACATGCAGTCAAATGCCTTACTAAGATCTAGAAAGGCAGACACAAAATATTCACCATCTTGAAAGGATTTAACGACATTATCAATAAAAGATAGAACAGCTTTTTCAGTGGATAAGCCTTTTCGAAATCCAAACTGATTTGTACAAAACAAGTTATTACTAATAAAGAATTCAAGGATTTGTTCTAACATTAATTTTTCGAACACTTTAGACAACACTGGAAGAAGGGAGATTGGTCGATAGTTATCAACTTCATTGACATTACCTTTTTTGTATATTGGACATACTAAAGCCAATTTTAAGCAGTCTGGAAAAACCGAGTCAACAATATATTTATTTATTAATTTGGTCAAAGGTGCAATTAGCATATCCTTTACTGATTTTATAACGTCGACATTGAACCCATAAATATCTTTGCTGCTCTTATTTTTTAATTTATTCAATGCCTCACGAACTTGTACCTCTCCAACTGTCCTAAATTTAAAGAACATATGTGACGTGTTATTAACAGATATCATAATTTTAACAGGATCAAGATTAGTATTTGGTAAGGAATTAAGAATATTTTTAGCAATGCTCGAGAAATGTAAATTGAATTCGTTAGAGGAAATTTTTGTAGTTTCATGAATAGTACGTTTTCTACTTCTGTTTATTAATGACCACATAGCTTTAGAATTATTAGAATTGTTTTTAATAAAAACATTGTTGGCTGCAATTTTAGCTTTTTTAACAGCTTCTTCATATTTACGCTTAAAATTATTATACATTATTTTTAAATCCAAAGTCCCATATAATCTGTAAGAACTATATATTAGATGCAGAGTTTCTCGCATGATTTT